GCCACCTTAGGTGTATGTGGCTGGCGCCTTAGCTGCTTGAGCCACAGGCGCTGAGCCGATTTTTAAAAATTTTCACAACACACCAACACTCCTCTCATGGAGCACCAGTGTGCCACCACACACCAGTTGAAAATCACTGATTTAGAGAGAGAGAAAGAGAAAGAGAGACGTATTTTCTTGTTCCTTTTGTGTCTTCTCCCATAGAGATTCTGTTGGCATGTATTCACAAATCTTAAGGTTCAGCATATATTACGGTCTCAATGATTTTTAAAAACCACAAAAATATACAGGAAAACCTCTGTAGCGGACTGTAATAAACTGCTCAATGCACGGAGAGGAGGTGGTCAACATAAGGAACTTGGCTATGGCACTGACACGTACATGTGGTACATGTCCGGTCTGTGAAAATAATGTCAGCTTAAGGAGCTGGTCAATGTAGGTGTCCATGTAGGAAGGTGGTCAACTATGGACATTGTACTGTAGTTACAAAAATTATACCATTACTATAAAGAAACATGTAAGACTGAGTGGATTTCATTGTCTGACTCATAAATGTGTGCATTTTCCAAACTTTCTTTAGTGAGCGTACATTGCATATATCAACACAGCTATATTTTACAAAATTAGCCCATATAATTTTACATGTATCATATGATCACAAGGACATAACACTACAGACAACAAAAAGATGAGTGGCAACATGGAATAATTTTTCTGGGTGGTAAGAACAGGATGTTTCTTCTTTCAAGTTTTGCCTATTTTCCTAATTATTGCTGTAATGAGAAAATATTAGTTTTCTCTTTTTAATCAATGAGAGAGTTACAGATTATTTTTAAATGAGGTCCTCACCTCCCTCTGTGCACCAAAATTAATTCCAGTGATTTTTAGAGAGTTAATTTTTCAAATTGTAGAAAAGTAGAAGAACAGGAGATCAAATATAAATCAAACCTCACAAAGGGGGTGATTTTCTAAACTTCAGAATACTATGAGAAAACACAAAGAACACGAATGGCTACATAAGAATTCTGAAATAATGGGAAGTCAGAATAGCAGGCCGATCCTGAGTGCGTAACTAGACACTTTGAAAGAAATGCTGACAAAGGTTCCTTAACCCTTCAGCCCCTTGGACTTAACCTCTTTCTCATCCCCTCACCTTGGTGGCTCAGACTGGCCCTGGTCACTCATTCCCTTCACTCGCACCTTTCCTGTAAGACAGACTGAGGGATTCTGGTGCAACAAGCACCCTTCTTGACCTTGTCACAAAGCAGTTACAATTCTAAACCTGCTCCATCCATCTCTTCACTGCCTGACTCTCCTAAGGATGAAAGCCAGAGAAGTCACTATCCCTCCTTTGTCCCTCTTCCTGGCATAAGCTTCTTTTCCCAGCTTGGCCAAGGACTCCACCAGAAGGGCCAGCGCGCCATTCTCCTCTCTCCGGGATGAGTCTTTGTCTCCATTGCTGCGCCGTCTCCGGCAGCAAGGCAGACCATCTGCTGACGCCTCCCACCAGCTGCCGTCTCATCCTAAGCGTGCTTGTCTCCCCTGAGAACTCCCTGACTTTAGGCTCAAGGCAGTCTCTCTTATCCTTGCTCAGCCTGCGCCCTTATCTTTGGGGAGCGTTCACAATCTCTCCCCCCTCAATTAGTATCACCCGGGTTTCCCCTCGAGGACTGAGATCTGTTACCCTCCTTGAATGAGTCCCCTCCTATCATATTCGCCATCACATGGCAAAGGGAATACATCCTGGGTGGTATTTGAGAGGCCTCACAGGGACACAGAGCTGCCACTGGGAGGAAAACAGAGCCTGGGGCTCTAAGTCCCAGGGGATCTTCGTTTTGATTCCACATATGGAGTCTCAAACCTGTGAATCATGTCCAAGGTTGGAATTTTACTTTGGTACCATTGCTTTTTTTTTTTTGATACAGAGTCTCACCACATCTCCCTCAGTACAGTACCATGGCGTCACAGCTCACAGCAACCTCCAGCTCCCGGGCCTAAGTGACTCTCTTGCCTCAGCCTCCCAAGTAGCTGGGACCACAGGCACCTGCCACAACACCTGGCCATTCTCTGTTGCAGATGTCATTGTTGTTTAGCTGGCCCGGGCCACCCTCGGTGTATGTGGCTGGCGCCGTAACCACTGTGCTACAGGCGCCGAGCCACTTTGCTAGCATTTCATGGAGAAAAAAATGAAAACATAAAAAGAGTGCGTTCAATTAGAGCACACTATTTTCCCACCTAGAATGTCCTCCGCAACATCTCTCTGAATTTTTAAGTCAGACACATCTGTCAGGGTCCAGAATAAATGCTCTTTCCTTCCAAGAGTCTTCTCTGGTCTTCTAGATGAGTGTGATTCTTCCTCCTTCTCGAAACCCCTATTCCTAAATTCAGATGTCTCCTAGGAAGAATATATGCTGTCTATCCCCTGCTACAATGCCCATTTCCTCCCTCTCTCAGCCTGCTGCTAAGGCCTCAACGCCTGCAAGGCCCAGCTGGGTCAAGTCACATCATGAACTGAACTGACCCAGCCAAGGTGCTGGTAGGCCCAGACCCATCACAGTAGTGATTCTCTGCGAACGGTGCCAGCTGGATGGATGAATGACACAGCTCCCTAGACCACAGAGCTCTATGGCCTGTATCCCTGCTGTCTCCATCTTTACTCAATCTGAGCCGCTAATGGGTTACTGGCATGGCTCATTTTTCTTCTTCTCTTCATTTTAGGTCAGATCCCCAGAAGCCGAGCCCGAGATGGCGATTCTTAGGGAGAGATACTCTTGGGGGGAGCCCGTGGTGGAGTGAGAGCAGCAGGCAGGGAAAACACTCAGCAAGGATGTCAGGGGAAATCGTGCCATGGCCTGATCCCATGGGGGGCTCTGGAGCATAAAGGGCACCACTGAGGTCAACCTGCCCCGAGGCAAGGGCACTGGGCTTGAAGTGGCCCATCCATCAGCCACTGGCCATGAAGCCTCTGGAGAAGAGGACAAGAAATCTATAATTTCCTACACCTCCAGCCTCCATCATCCCTGGGCAGCCTCCTGAGAAGGGTACATATCTGAGCTGATGTGAGTTCTTAGCAGCAAGCACCCGCAGCAGCTAGGAGACGGGGGCACCGGCAGAGTGAAGGGTAGCTGGGTACGACACCAACAACATCTGTTACAACCACTTACTTTTTCTCAATTGCACGTATTTTCTTTGGACACGCCTCCCGCCAGCCTACTTTTACTCTTGTTAAAAAAGGAACAAGTTTGTAGTTGGACATGAACACAATCAAGTAATTCCAATCTTGATCAACTATACTGAAATCGGTGGTGCTCAGTGGGTAGGGTGCCAGCCACATACACCCAGGCTGGTGGGTTCAAACCCAGCCCGGGCCAGCTAAACAACAATGACAACTGCAACAAAAAAAATAGCCAGGTGTTGTGGCAGGCGCCTGTAGTTCCAGCTACATGGGAGGCTGAGGCAAGAGAATCGCTTAAGCCCAAGAGTTGGAGGTTGCTGTGAGCTGTCAAAAGCAATACTGAAACCCCAGACTGCTTGCTTCCATGGATTAGATAAGGGGTCATATGGAAAATTTTACTACAGAATTTTAGACACCATCTAGTATTGTTTCTTCATTTCATAGATGAACTGAGGCACAGACAGACAGGATTTACCTCATCCAGCAAATTTTGTATCAGAACCAAGCCAGAGGCTGCCTAACTTTCAGACAAGACTTATTTTACCATACCTCTATTTCTGCTTATGTCATTGCATTAGGACTATTTTGCTAAGATTTTCTAATTAATCATAAGGGGAAATGACTATTAAATGCAATGCTTGGGAAAATGTTGCATGCCAGGAATAGTATTCCCTCCTGTGGTTTATGTCTTACATGAGGACATGGAGAGAAGCCAGATATAGAACCTACTTAAAACCTTACAGAGTTTTTAAACCAAACTTGAACCTTCTGGAGTTCATTTATTTATTCTTGGCAACTTGCAGCTTCCTGATTCTTGGAAAGTTGCTGGCTCATTTAGAAGAAAAACTCAGGAGACTTCTTGAGCATTGAGTAGCTCGTACAAAACAATCTTTTGAAGTGTAAAGTGTAAATGAATAAGAACCAGAAGACAGAAGTTCGCCCAAAATACACATGGATGTAATCATTAAGGGAACGGGAACTCTAGACAACATGCATAATGGTTTCTTGTGCCCTAAACACTGAGGAAGTAGTCTTGTGCTCAGTAAATCCTAAGCTATGGTAGAGTTTTTCCTTTGTCTGAGACTCTCCTTTATATGTGAGTGACTTGGGTTAATACCAAAGGGCACTAGAAGGAGCCTAGTCAGTCTTAGACCCGCTTCACACTATCCCCCAAGCATTTCTCTTGCAATATTGTCTACCAGTAAATGTTCTTTCTGTTTCCAAATCCAAACTCATCAGAATCACCCCTCGTGGATACAGAGAGTCTTCAGACTAAATGAGCATGGTCATCCATTATTATGACCATCACAGGCCAATAAAGGTGACTTCTTTTCTGTATTTAAAAGCCTAACATGGCCAGGCACAGTGGCTCATGCCTGCGAGGCTGAGGCAGGTGGATCCCTTGAGCTCAGTAGCTTGAGATCAGTCTGAGCAAGAGCAAGACCTCATCTCTACTAAAAATAGAAAAACCTGCCAGGTGTTATGGCAGGTGCTTCTCATCCCAGCTACT